AAGACCCAAATAGTGACATAAATTTAACACCCATAGGCTCTGTTTACAAGCATGTGGACTGAATGTTAATGATGGTGGTTTGAAGTTTGTGTTATGGACTGTTAATCCCCTGGATTAATATTTCCTAACTGCCGAGTGAAACAATGTAATTATTCAGAGCTTCACTTGTTGTTTACAGGCTTCAAACCCGTACCTTCCAACAAGAAGCGGCTCGTTGACCTCTGGTGGCCGTTTCCGATGCCCGTCCTGCAGACACGAGGTGATTCTGGACAGGCATGGTGTTTACGGCCTGCAGAGGAACCTGTTGGTTGAGAATATCATTGACATGTTCAAACAAGAATCCAGCAGGTGAGACAGATCAGACATTTGTCAAAATAACAGAAAATGAAAAGAATTCTTCATGTCTGACAGGAGGATGTTTTCATTTGTGAAACTGCAGTAAAGTATAATAGCAGGAAGTGAAACACTGGCTTCTGAGTCAGAGATCTGCAGTGGGTGAGAGGGCATTTCTACTTGCAGTAGTCATCCACACAGATTTTTTATCCAGCAGATGACTGAAAGGCTTGTATGACATGATATCCACAACACTTCTTGCTGTTGTGACATTATTTCATTACAATTATCCTGAGTAGAGTTTATAGGATGACCGAGATGCTTCTTCAGTTCTGAAACCAAAACGTAGAGAGTGCCAGGTATTTAAACCCTAATGGGGATTTCCCCTTAAGAGGAGATCGTTGCCTGATAGTCATGTCAGTCCATCATCACACGAGCCAAACTGGGAAGAAAGCAGTGGGTCGTTACCACCTGAGGCTTCAGATGAAATCACTGTGAGATCTTGCGTGAGACCACATTATGTGACCCGTTGAGTTCACCGATGCAACGTGTGAGTGGATGTTGAGCCGCGTGGGAAACAGATCTCGAGACTGCATTGTAGGTGGTTGACAGTTGGTGTAGTTAATGATCCGTCATCGTCTTTTAAACCATCTCCTCGGTCTAAAATGTAAACATTCGCATCCCCCAAAGAGTGACCTTTATCCTTAAAAACAAGCAAATGTAAGGTTTTGGAACCACCTACTCAAAGTCAGGACCTTAAACAGGTTGTTCGTGCTCAAAAAACCCTTTTAAATGTGTTTGAATTAAAGCAATTCTGCAAAGAAGAGCAGGCCAAAATTCCTCTACGGTGATGTGAAAGACTCATTGTCAGATATCGCCAAAAGCTTTACGATTACTTTTTCACACAGGGCAGGTGCATTTGGATAAACTTTTCACTTAAAAAATGAAATCATTATTTAAAAACTGCATTTTTTATCTTTGTCTGATGGTGTGACGTATAAACTTAAGAAATAAGGAAGGGGGGAAAACTTTTAAGCTATATAAACATGAATCATGTATGCTTGCTCCCACACTACTCAGCAATGATGATGACCTATTGATTACAGTGCTGGCAGTGCATGTGAATGGCAGGGCACACCTGATGGGTCATCGATAAGCTGTTGAGATGCCGAGATGTGTAACAGTGACATTATCAAACTGACACTGCATGTCACATCAGTATGCAGTCAAATGTGCAGCATCACAGGACACTACTGCTGTTTTCATCGCACCTCAACAGCAGCAAACCAGCACCAGAGAAAAAGGAAGAAACGCCCATGTGTGATATTCACGAGGACGAAAAGATCAACATTTACTGCGTGACCCACGGTGTGCCCATATGCTCCATGTGCAAGGTCTTTGGAGCCCACAAAGACTGCGAGGTGGCTCCTCTCAGCAGCATCTACCAGACGAAGAAGGTGAGGCCCGAGATGCTTACAAAGGCTACGAATACTGTCAGCCATGGTGATGTGTTTTTTACAGTTTCATCATGAAGTATGTCGTAGTATAATCATAGATTTGCCCCAGATTTGAGTCTGTAGTCATGCTGTCGTGTCCTTGCCCCCTAGACGGAGCTGAGTGACGGGATTGCCATGGTGGTTGGTAACAACGACAGGATGCAGGGCATCATTAGTCAGCTAGAGGAAGCCTGTCGTGCCATAGAGGTCAGTGTCCGACTGCTGCAGTGCCTGGCCGCTCACTCACGCAGCAAGCCTCACTCCGTGCACACACTAATGCACCTGCACAGACAACCAAACTGATGTAATGTGTCCTTGTCACGGCCACTCTTTCTGCTTTTATCCATCTGCGAGATTTAGACAGAGAGGCAGTAAGAGGAAAATAAATGTTTTGGTTCCACGGACTGCTTTAATCTCCCCTTTTCATATTTTCTCCTACGCTGGGTGCACATACACTAGTTAGAGCACCCTATTCTGCCTTCGACCCACTTCCACGGACAATAAAACGAGCAGTGTAATTGATAGGGCGAGAACAGGCAGCTTTCTTATGGTTCACGTGCCACAGTTGGATGTAGTAGAGAGGAAGCTGGAGTGACTCCAGTCCCCTGTGTGTCACTGCTGTGGCGTCATGCACATGGCACCAACTGAACGGAAGGAATTTTGCAGTGTTTAGACATCCGAAGAATGAAAACAACAACTAGTTACCGCATTTTCTCTCATTTTGAAATTCTAATGTACTTCGAAACTGAATTGCCTACATTTCCCACCCAGAACTCATTAATAAAGAATGGACCTGCAGAATTTACAATCTTTCCCTGTGGGTGTGTGCTTTCTTCACTTGTTCACGCACGTACAGGAGAACAGTCGGAGACAGAAGACTCTGGTTTGTGAAAAGTTTGACCACCTGTACTCTATCCTGGAGGAGAAAAAGAGGGAGATGAGTCAGAAGGTGACAGGCGAACAGGAAGAGAAGGTAAACTATATCCGGGGCCTGACAAGGAAATATGGAGACCATCTGGAGGAGAGCTGTAAAATCTTGGAGATGGGGATCCAGACTATGGATGAGCCAGAAATGGCTTTATTCCTGCAGGTCAGAGCTGCTACCACATGGGGTTTAAATTTGACATAATTTTAGCCAATTCATAAAAGTTTATCAGTATTTTATGTGCATGTTCAGTTGAACTCTCCCTTGTGTCTTTCAGAACACAAAGCCTCTCCTCAAAAAGTAAGTATGCTGTTGTTTTTCAATAATAATAATTGCACTGGTAAGAGGATGAAGGGGTTTTGCAAAAAAGAGAGAGACTACACCGCCAGTGTAAAAGTCAAAATCCTTTCTAGCTAATGTTTTTTAATCATTCTCATGAATGAGTACATCTGCACTTACACATAAAACCAGAACTCTAATAGAGCAAGGTCACACCTTCCCTCTGGTAGCTGTGGAAAATAATCCTGTGAAATGTTGCAAATCACTATCTTCTGCTGTGGCATCCTGAAATAACTTGCCGAACGTGCTAAACATCACAGATTGAATATATTTAAGACGTGTTACCATGACTTTGTGAGGCAACATTTAGTCCTGTGAATATCCTAAATGAGACTTATGTGCTCAGGATTGAAGAGGCATCCAGTGCAGCGCACCTGGATAAAGTAGAGCTTGGCTACGAGAGTATGGATCACTACAAAGTCGACTTCAAGAAAGAGGGCAAGGCCCTGCGGAGCATCGACTTCATCCAAGGTAAAGGAACAGAGATCGCGGCTTTAATTTGCTTCACACCCCTCAGTGTTGTAGTTCTCTAACCTTCATCCTTTTTTGCCTTAATTCTCACACAGATGACAAAGATGAGGATGAAGAAGATGAGGCTGCAGGAGCCGGTGCTGAGGAAGGAGAAGGATCACAAACTGTTCCTGGAGGTGCTGTTTCAGCCACCTCTGCCCAGCCTTCTGCACCCCCACAGCAGATGAGCTCCTCCCCCAGCGCACCCACGAGCACTCCTCAACTTAGCTGTCAGCCATCGGCCCTGACAACACCTAAACCAGAAGCAGGATTGATTGTTGCTCCTAAATGTTGACCTCAGGTCAGCTGTGATACATTTTTAGCCACGAGGGGAACCTAATCTGTGTATGTAGATCTTAAGGAAGGCAGAGATGTTTTACTTCTGCCTCTTTTGTTGTGATTGGTCTATCACAGCATTCGGACTGATTTAATCTCTTTTTCTCTTATTAAAAAAAGATGCTTTAGTTCCTCCTTTTCATTTTGAACATGCTTAATGACAGAGGGACTTTGACTGTCATTCAGCTCTTTGCAGAATTCAGATGTACTCAAATATTTTTTTTATGTGGTTGACCTTTTGAGACTTGCTCCTTAAACTCCATCATTAAAAAAACATAATAGGAGAGCCGCTGGTTCTCCTCCCTGTTGTATACTTCTTGATGACTGATATAACTCTGTGAGTAATGTAGCAGAGTGATAAAATGAGCACTGTGACATTTCAGTATTTCCTACATCGGGCTGCTTGCGTTATGTTTAATATTCTTCATTGTAATGTGGCACAGGTATTATTTCCCATGATGATATATATGATACATGCATATTATATACATTAAAAATGATTTGACTAAATACCATCAGCATACTTTTTCACATCGCTATTTGACACTAGATGTAAAAAAACAGTTTTGTTTCTTCGTAATGCCTCTCTCCCTCCCTCTTCGTCTTTCCACACTCCTATTGGCATATTTCCGTGGAAAAATCCAGCTCAATGCGTGAGTGCCTTTTTTTGGCTTGTTCAGACATTTTTAACATCCTTCTCCACTGCATGATCAGGATAACACTCCTGCATATACATATGAGACCACAGTGAGCAAATATGAGTGCTCCCATATTTTTAGACCAAAGCAAATAATTTGCTGCCCTGCGATGGCCTCACGTTGCTGTAACTCCACCGCTCAGGTAGTCCACCATTCAACGACCATCTGTTATTTTACACCGTGTCTCGGTGAGTTGGATCCTTTACAAATGGGCTCAATCCCACACTAAGCCTCAAGATGCTTCGCGGGCCAAAAAGAATAGGATGACTCACACCCACGGCTCTTGTTTAGCGTAGCCTGACACTGGGGGTCAAGAATCAGCGTTCACATACACACGCTCACACATAAACACACACACACAGTGTCTTCGACACTAATTAGCTATCAGTGGTGCATCTTTGAGCTAAGCGTGGTTGCCTCTTGCTGGTATAATGAGAATTGCCTCTTGAGGATTAAGGGTTTGGAAGAAGAACGCTGTATGAATGTTCACTGCGCTGAAGGGTTGTTCAGATTTTTGGCAAAGTACTGCAGTTAGAGCTTTTTTTGTGTGCGTCTGTGTTAGACAGAAGGCATGAACTGGCTCCAGAGCAATGCCATGGTTAGACCTATGCAATTGTTTGCACTGAGTTAGGCAAACCTTTACCAGTCAGCATTTATAGGCAAGACTCGAGATTCTGTGGCCATTTGTGCACTCTTAAAGTTGTTATTTACTTTTTTTTCAAAGTTTCTTTAATGTGGGACTACAAATCCATGTGTTAAAAGTCATTAGAAAAGTGCGTTTTAATCAGATTACTAGTCAAAGTTAATGGGATTATTATTTATTTTTATTGGCGTTAGTGTTAACTAATATGTAAGGATATCCACAGAGAAATGTAAGCATTGCTTTTATTTTTTTTTTATTAAAAATATAGATATAAGACGTTCTGTTGCACAACAGAAAATGACTGGTTGCACATAAGTTTATTAACAAACATAAATTTCATAAATACAGTGATTCATAATCTAAAACAAAATGCCAATTTTGTGAATGCAATTCATGTCTTAGACGAAAGTATTTCATCTCAAATATGAAGAACGGCATATCTCTACAGATCTGACACCAACATTGAAATGGCAAGGTACAATCGGCTCATTATAAGTCAAGCCCGTTTATGCTCCATAGTTTGAGGTTAAAGCTATAAACAATAAAGTGATAAAGCAGCACTATATTGTACAGAGCATGTTTTGTGCTGATGGCAAAAATGCACAACAGAAGGAGTAAAGAAAAAGAAAGGGAAGGGAGATCTTTGGCGGGCTGGGAAATCATTTCCCGAAGAGCTCCATCATTCTTCTGTTATTCTGCGCTTGCTGAGCCAGCTGTTCCGCCCTGGACATCTCCATCATCTCCCGGAGCAGATGGAAGGTCAGATCCAGGGATATTGGCGGGTCCTCGGACCTTCTTCCCCTCTCCATCGAGTCGTCCCCGCGGTCTCCGAAGCCGCTTATGAGCGCCCTGATGTTCCCAACTTTACCCTGTAAAAGACGCCGCGTCAGCTGGAGTTGCAAAGCTCTGTTGAAGATGGAAGGTGATCCGCCGGGATACATGGACGTTGATGGGAAAGAGTTCGAGTCCCCGTTGCCCAGTCGGATGAAATACTCCTCCCCAAGCCTCTCCAGAATCGGGCCGGATTGCAGCTGCTGGGAGTTTTGGGTTTGTAGAGCTGGGACGCGCAGAGTACTGCCAGGGCTCTCAATAGCCCGACATTCGTAGCGCGGTAAGAAGGCAACTAGCAGAATCACGGCGGTACCGAATAAATTGAGCTTCATGTCAGGATTTCAACAGGAATCTGGGAAGAAAAAGAAATACATTGGGTTATTTAATTTTGGCACGCTCGTTTTTTTTGCTGTGGCGCGAGATGTGCCGCGTAAAAAGGCAATTACGCACGTAAAAGAGACGTTGCAATAATGTAACGGGCAAATTATAACTATTGCTGCCGCAGTTTATTTTTATTATTGTAAGATATTTTGCGATCTGTTGCCACCTGTTATTAGTAAGGAGACTATATATTGTACAACTGATCAGCGATGTGGAATATTTACGCGTAAAGGAAGCTCGAAGATTAGAATGAGGAATTATTGTCTTCTATCATTATACTTAGTCCATCCCCAAAAATGAAATCAGAAATGAGAATAGAAAGGTATCAGCAAAGCCAAAAATCCACTTTATCATCTACAAATCCACTTTATCATCTACAAATACAGTTTTTAAATGTTTGCTGTGAAGCACAAAGAAGTCTTTAATTAAGCAAAGTCGCATTGAGCTGTGCTTGGGAAAAGAATAACTAAAATGCTAAAAGAGGGAAAAATACGAATTCAAAATGTGGGTAAAATTAATGAAACTTTTCTTACCTTCAGGCTTTAGAGGTGGTCCGCTACAGCCGTGTAGGTTGCCAGGTAGTTGGCGAGATGCCGCCCTCCTTCACTTCACTTTGAGGAATCAAGTATATAGTTACTTAAAGGATAGATGCTGAATGGACTTATATAGCCACCCTCACTATAAGTGTCGCGCTCCAAGCTGAGATTGAGTCTGCGCGTTCTTGCATGGGTGTAACGTGAATGGACGCCTCTGACAAAGTGCTTTAGTTTAGATGAGATGAGTCATATGTGAGTGCGCGCGCACGTGCACGAGCGTCTACCTCGGCGCTTTCAGAATAGGCCTATAGGTGACACACCTGCCGGCATTTTCACTTGAGTTGTTAGTTGAAAAATAATTCCAAGGGTTTTGGACTCCATGTGGCAAATAATCAGAAGTTAAAAAGTAATATTTAGACGAGATAAGTCTGGAACTATGTTTTTTTCTTCTTATCAGTCACTGCTCATTTTCATCATGTGTCTTATAAAAGACAAAGGGGAAAAAAAACCTTCCTCATCTGAGGACACCATACAGTGACTGCTATTGCCTACAAAATTGCAAAAGTTATGTAACATGTGGAAGTGCGGTAGTTTCAGGTATGACATTTTGGTGCAATCTTCAGGACTCACTTTGTCTCTGCATTTTACACCACAAGTATTCCAAAGCAGTTTTCCATCTGCCCTGTGTTGCATTCAGTGAAAGTGCATTTGCAAACACATCAGGCTGGGAGAGAGAGAGAGGTATTGTCTCCCAGTGATTCATTGCTGCTGCACATATATACGTCACCACCTCTTCCAATCGTGCCTTGGCCACCTTGCTCCAGAGGGGCCCACCGCCAAGCCACACTTGCAAGATGAAGCGCTTATCCGAGTATTAGAAAAGCGATTAGAATGTTAAAAAGCTCAATCTTTAACTTGTGTTTCTGTCTGCTTTACCTGCTTTACATTTACCCAAACATTTGTGCAATACCTTAAAACAAGCAATTCCTCCACAATGGCAGATGATTTCTTTTTCAGTTCCATTTGTTTTATTAGTTTGTCTGTAAGCAAGTTTAAGTAAAAACAACCTGGCTGAAATTCATGAAACTTGGTGGAAAGTTGGCTATTATACTTTGGTTGGATCCAGATGGCCTTCTTTTTAAATGATGAGCTAGGACACTGGCATTGGTAGAGAGGCCTTTTAGTTTGCAATGCCATTAAATGAGCACTAATTCTTCCACAAAGGCAGAGACAGAGGATGTGGATTCCCATATGGCAAAATATGTTGATAAAAAGATGGCTCTTTCATACTTGCAACTAAAATTAGAATGCATTGTAAGGCAACCCTTCCATTTAATCCTTAACAGTAAATCCATTTCATTCAGATATTCAGACCGGGAAAGAGTACGATTCAAACATATGTAGAGGTCAAAGTGACCTAACAGGTAGTGTGCACTCAAGTAAAATCAACCACTCTGGAAAGAGAAAGGAAGAGAGAGCAGAGGGGGAACATTTGATTGTGTAAATGTAGTCATGAAGTGCAGGATGGTTTTTTCTTCAGAAAGAAAGTCCTGTCTTCCAAGATTCATGCATTACCTATATTGGTTTTAGTGGATTAGAGGATAATATGCAAAAACCTTGTTTCCCCTAGCCTCTCGACTTTGTCACTTTTCATGCTCCGTTACCGCTCAAAGGGACGTGTCAGGTCCCATCATGAGAAACACATGTTGGCTGACACAAATAGAAAACACCGCCATGAGAGAGGGACTGCTCGTGGTCAATTCACATCACCTCATTTTCAAATCACCGTCCCTGGACAGATCACTGGGAGAGAAATCCTCTTCTGTGATGCAACCCCGGAAAAGACTTGGGCTTAAATTATTATCTCTCTCTTGCTCAATTAGAGCGAGTCTTTTAGATGATTACATTAGATAAAACCCAAATGATTTGTCCTGGAAAACTGGAATGTTGCCACCTTTCCCGCTGGCATCTTTTGGTGAGACACTCAAATGAATAGATGAAATTGGATTTCCACAGCACACAAACTGCAAATTGCCAAAGAAAAAGTATTTTACAGAATCACTGTCAGAAGAGCAAATTCTCCTCTGCAGCAGATTCATTATTTGATTATTTGCCTTTCCGGTGCTTCTCGGTGAACTTTCCCTTTGTGAATAATTGGACAGCTTTCTCCAGTGGATAGAAGCGTGTTTTTCCTAATGCATGCTTGACTTTCACAAACAAAATTTTAATAATCAAAGTCACTCTCGCTGCTTAAGTGAGTGCGATCGCTGGGACTGCAGAGCCCAGGGCTAGACTACCACCTGACCTCAGTCTTGTTGCTGAGGTGTCCTTCTGGTTTATAGTGCAGTGATATAACCTGTTATAAAAACACCTCTAATAGAAGTGAGAGCCTGGCCTTTCATTTTACAAAGAAAAAAGACATGGACAATTTTACAGAAATGGCATTTCTTGTTTTACAGTTGACCACAAAACTACTCAAAGCTTTCATACAATCAGCCAACTAGTTATATTGTTAAACATATACGCTTCAACCATGGCTATTTAAGGCTAAGAAGTTTAATTTGCTATGCAAGAGGAGATCTGCCAGTATCCCCACAGGGTGGCTTAATGTTAAAGTGTTCTTCAGTGAACCCCAGCTGCTTTTGAAAAGAACTGTTTTGATGAATGTTTCAGGATTTGACACAAAGCAATCTTTTGAAGGTTTCAATGTCATCACATCTTGAAAAATTAAATGTGACACGGCTGGCTTTCTCTGGCTCTTCCTAAGACCGTGTACGGTAACCCGTATGAGAACGTGTGACGCAAAGTTCTCTGTAATGCAGCGAAGCCCCCCGAGGGCCATCTGTCTGTAACGATCTAGCACGTGCAGGCCAGAAGCTTCACTTTTACTCGTTCACATAGTGGTTGCCAGTCTTGTCACACAAACGTTGTGAAAGGGAAATAATGCCTGTAAGGATGATACTGGAACTCATAACAGAGCCCAGAATAGCTCCAGTGTTTAAGTTGAATAAGCAAGTAACAAATTGGTAATTACAGTATGTGTTTTTGTAACTACAGAATACCTGCAGATTACTTTTTGGGAAACCAAAAGTTTGAGTTCATATTCTGTGCTTATAGTCATTTTAAGAGATAATTCTGCCAGCTTTGTTCTTACTCTGTCCTGATATCTTAAAGATACTGAGTCTTTTTTAAGTTTAGAATCTCTTTTCTGTTTGTTAAGAAAGACATAAACTATACTAAGTTCTTTAATCTAAAAAGCCTCCATCCATTAGTCCATTTATTCTCACTGTCATAGATCGAGAAGTGAGTTCGCCAGTTTGTCACAGAGCTCGTCTAAAAAGCTAATTTTATATTTCGATTAAAATTAAATAGACAATATTTAATACCTGTAATTAAAAGGAAGCCTTTTTTTTTGTTGTATAAATCACATAAAAACACCAAAATCAGCTGTGCACCTGGCTGGCTGCCATTGCCTTTTGCCACGAGACCCTGTTTGCTCCCATAAAGGTATAAAATATTTAAAGATGTCACTGATACGTAGTTTCATTATTCTTTTTAAGTGATTCCCTGGAACAGCTGAGGTCTAAGGTTTTCAGCAAAGGTCACTCAAATAACAGTAAAAGAGGAGGAGGGAGTGTGTAAACCAGTGCAATAGTGAGCACGAGGGTCACGCATTTTAAATAAGAGCCCTATAGAATCCTAAGGCTTATTAGTAACATTAATTCTTTTGTATTGTTTATACGTAGGAAAAGATGAGACTGTACAGTAAATTACAATCCAGATTATCTTCTAATCTGGACACTACATACTATACTGTCACTTTCAGTGTGACAAACCAGTTAAATATGACTGCCGACCAAGGAGGAGGTTTGTAAATTATATTTTTTATATACAGTCACATGGTAGCAAATCATTACATTCAGGCATGTAGACAGGGTCAAGACAACCAGCTGAAGTTCAAAATGAGCATCAGAATGGCATAGAAAGATGATTTAAGTGAATGTGACATGGCTGTTGTTGGTCCGAGTATTTCACAAACTGCTGATCCACTGGGATTTTCCCACACAATCATCTCTAGGGTTTACAGAGAATGACTTGAAAAAGAGAAAAGATCCAGCGGGCAGCACTTCTCTGGGTGAAAATGTCCTGCCGATGTCAGAGGAGAATGACCAGACTGCTTCAAAGCTGCTAGGAAGGCAACAGTAACTTACTGATTACAACCACACAGTCACCGATCTCAATCCAACATAGCACTTTGGAATGTGGTGGAATGGGAGAGTTACATCATGGATGTGCAGCTAACAAATGCACAGAAACTGCATGATGCTGTGTGTCAATGTGGACCAAAATCCCAGAGAAATGTTTCCAGCACCTTGTTGAATCTACAGCATGAAGCAGCTCTGAAGGGGGTCCAGCTTTGTAAATGTTTTCACAGACATGTCATATGGGTTAGTACAATGCTTGCAGAGATGTTGACGCATCATTCTTTGCTAAACTTTGATTTGACTGGTAATTTCCTGTCATTTGTCCAGCAGTCACATTATGTGAACTGAATATGTTGGCTCAGTCAGTTTTCTCAGATTTATCCTGTGAAATGAGACATATTTAGGGGCCTGTCTCCGTTTCAGGAAATACTAAATGTTCTGCTTCTGTGCATGATTTCAAGTTATTATTAGTGAAACTTTATTTCAGTGATACGTGACATACTGTTCTAACATTTCACTCAAAGGCATGAGACAGCAAATCTCCAATCCTAGAGTGTGATAAAAAAAAGAAAGGAAAAAAACTGTCTCTGGAGAAATCTAGGCCAAAGCCATTCTAGCAAAATTGTAACCCAGTTTTCTCTTTGATAATACACTTTGACCATAATTGTCTCTTTGGGGCCACTTAATCTGAACATATATGCTGATGCTGTCTTCGCTGTGCACCCTCATGGCTAAGCTGCGAATCATCTATAATTCATTAATTTTGTCTAATCGTTATGCAGCTATAAAGTGTGATCAGTGGCAGGAATTTCTCAAAAAAAATAAAAAGTCACGTCTCCTTTCAAGATTGACAAACATCAAATACATTGATGCTGGCAGTTATACAGATCAAAGTGACAGAAAACAGCCAGGCAAGAAACATTTCAAACAGCTTTCTTTATTCTAATCTTGGATTGTCTCAGAGCGCTAACAACCTTAAAAGCACTCTTCTTC